TGTGCATAGTGAGATATAGGATTTTATTTCATTTTGTTGCTTATGAATTTCCAATTTTCCTAGCACCATTTGTTGAAGAAACTGTTCTTTCTCCAATATATGTTTTTGACACCTTTGTCTAATATGAGATTACTGCAATTATGTGGGTTTGTCTCTATGTCCTCTATTCTGTACCATTGGTCTACAAGTGTATCTTGATGCCAGTACCATGCCATTTTTGTTTCTATTGCTCTATAGTATAGTTTAAGGTCTGGTACAATGATGCCACCTGTTTAACTCTTCTTGCTAAGGATTGCTTTAGCTCTTCTGGGTCTCTTGTCTTTCCAGATGAATTTCATGACTACTTTTTCTATTTCTATGAGAAATGTCATTTGCATTTTGATTGGAATTGCATTAAATCTGTATAGTGCTTTTAGTAATATGGTCATTTTGACAATATTAATTCTGCCTATCCAAAAACAAGGGAGTTCTTTCCGTCTTCTAAGGTTGTCTTTAATTTCTTTCTTTAGCACTCTGTAGTTTTCACTGTAAAGGTCTTTCACCTCTTTTTGGATTCCCAAGTTTTTTTGTTTTGTTTTGTTTTTGAGGCTATTGTAAATGGGGTAGTTTTCCTAGTTTCTCTTTCAGAAGTTTTGTCACCAATGTACAGAAATTCCTTTGGTTTAGGGGTGTTGATTTTATATCCTGCTACTGTGCTGAATTCATTTATTATTTCTATAGGTTTTTTGGTGGAATTTTTTGAATCATCTAGGTATAGAATCATATTGTCAGCAAATAGTTTAATTTCTTTCATCTGTCAAATAGCTCTGGCTGGAGTTTCAAGAACTATGTTAAATAGAAGGGGTGAAAAAGGGCATCCCTGTCTTGTTTTTAGAGGGAATGCTTTCAGTTTTTTTTCCATTTAGAGTGATGTTGGCCTGGTGCTTAGCATAGATAGCTTTTACAATGTAGAGATATGTTCCTGATATCCCTAGTTTTTTTTTTTAGTGTTTTGAACATGAA